CCAACACTGCCTGGTCCAACTTCCTCCTTTTGTCCCTTGGCGCTCTCCCTATCAACACTTATCTGGCAGGCTCCTAGTCACTTCCTGGAATGATTGAGTTGTCTGGTTTTGAAGCTAAGCACCATTTATCTCATGGGAAAGCCTGAGGCAAGGTGAGTCAGATGCCGCCAGTGCTGAGTTTCAGGTGCAATGAAGACTAGAAGGCTTTATCTGGTGTTACAATAACAAAGGTTCTTGTTGAAAGAGGGGGCAGCAAGGAAAATGGGCCTGGGGATGTGCATTTCATATGACCTGAATTGCAAGGACAGGCTCAAAAATAGCATACAGACCAGGACCAACCTCCTTGACTTTCCCAGGGCCCTTCCAAACTATTGTTTTTTCAATGGGGTGTATTCCGCAACATGTAATTGAAGCAATAATAGTGCATTAGCGGTGGATCCCCAAGGACATGCTCTACAGGGAGCTGGCTTCAGGCATCAGGTCCATTGGCAGACCAACTCTGCACTACAAAGATGTCTGCAAACATGAAGGCTGGCTACATCCAACGGTTTGACTTCACCCCAAAGGCGCACTCTTTCATTTTCTCCCAAGACAGATGGATGCCAACAAGTGGTGGATTTATACTGTACCATCCACACATCATTCCGCTTTATTAGTTGTTCTGTGATTTGTCTGGAGGGGCAACTTTGGACTATAGTGCAATGAAAGTGGGACAAAAAACAACAACCCAGAAAAAAACCATTTATGGTATAAAAGGCTACAGGATGTCAGCAGCAAGTTATGGGACATACATTGACTGAAAATTAAGCACTCTGTTGACCCTTAAACGTTTGCAGGTGCAAAGAGTGTTGAGAGCAAGATAATGTATAACCAGCCTGATAACATCACGAGCCCAAGTAATAACAAATACATTTTTTAAAAGATGTCTGGAGAGGCCCCTAGTTTGCCTTTCTCTGGATACAAGTAATCCGTCCTAAGTGACAAGAGTCACTTACAGCATTCAACTGCTGTAAATCTGTACAAAGGCAAATGTCATAGGGCAGGACTGTATTAAGGCATAATTGGAAGAAGGTGATAGGACCATAATGGCAGGAGTGAATTCCCTTACGGAAAGTACAGTGACTCTGTCACACCTGAGTCCAGTTGCAGACCAAAGCCTGATCTACATGTGCCATGGAATTGGGACTAGGATCCTGAGTGATAAAGAGCTACACTTCCCTAATGAACTAGGTTTTATTTATTTGCAGAGAGTTTTTAAAGGTTGTTTTTACATGCGGAAGTGTTTACAATGGCACCACACCCCTGGCCTCTGCAGTGGTACAGTCCACTCAAGCACTTCTTATTCTACTGCATGTTCATACTGACCCCGACACTTCATCTCCTGGGGAACCCAAAGCTGTTCAACATCACATCTGTGCAATTTTGGAATGCCAGAGGCTCTTATGCATTGACTACTGTTCATAATTACCTCTTGTGACTCAGGATTATTCCCCAGAGCTATTAGTTTAATATGACTTTATGATGCCAGGTTTTGCCATGACTTGTTTCTTAACTTGAGATATTTGAAGGTTAAAAATGGCAGCCAGGAAGCTTAATTATTGGTTTGTGGGCTAATGTATCATTATGGTCATCATCTATGCTAAAAGGAACTGGTATCACTAGAAGGAGAAAAGGAAGGTAGCACATGGTCCAATTGCCATTCTGAAATGGAGAATGGGTCACAAGGAGATCCTAGTGCAGGAGATCCTGGATAAACTTTAAAAAAACACACACAAGCAAACAGGTATCATATTTTAGATAGACCAGAGAGGCAGAAAGAACCCCAGGTGGGAGATCCTGGCTGTTTATAATGGTATAATGTTGGTGCCCTTGAAGTATTGATTGAGATGGTGTATAGAAAGCACAGACCTCAAGTATTTCTTTTTTTAAAAAATCCATTATATTTTGCTATTTCTGTACTGAAAATACAGAGAGTATTCTGTTCCAGGTACTTATTTCTAACTACGACTTACCCTTAGGGCACTCTAACTGGAGATGAGGTTTATCCATTCTCCTCCTACCATGAAGAATTCTACAGGACTCTAAAGATTGCGCACTATTAGCCTAATAACGAAATTTTGCAAATGTTCTTTCTGGGCCAACATGGCAGTCTTTGCTTTTTGTCCAAATAATAAAAAGGAGAAAAAGCAGGAACTACTGTCAACTTTCTTTTAATTCTAAGAAACACTAGCAGTACACGTTTTCAGCATACACCAAAATATCTTCTAAACGTACACATTCCAGAATATGGAAGGGCCTTGAACGTGTTAATTTTTTACAAAGCCAGTTTACCTCCGTTGTCTAATCCTATTATGTAGTTGCCTCAAACTATACTGAGTGAAAACGTTAAATATGTCTTTCTAACGGATGGCCTTTCCCCCCATTAGTAAACAAATGGTAACCTCACAGTTCTGAGAAACCATATCCTTCCTTTAGGCTGCCTAGCAAAGAAGCTTTCATTAAGCTTTTCCACTTTAGGCAAAGGAAAGACCTTTTGGTGCAAAAGTTATGCTGCTGATTATTATGTAACTAGTACCTTGCAATTTACATTTCAGTTAAAAATACAGCAGGAATAAATTCCTCAGGAGCCTCTGGCTTTAAATTGCCTATCATCCCACCCAGATAACCAGCTGCCAATCCTTTGTGGAATATCTGAATGTTTCACAGAATGCAATTGTCTTCAAAGGACTTAATCCACATCTGAAACAAGGATTTCCTTTTATTTACTAGGATGTTAAAATTACAACTACACCGCTTAGGAAATTTACTTTAGAGTCATCCTAGTAAACTCAGTAGGACCAATTAAAACAGTAAATGTGTGATGCTGTCCTGCTGAGTTAATTATGGCCAGAGTTACTGCTTATCATGCATTTTCCATATTCTCCCTGAGTCCCAATTCCTAAATGTATTTACGTACTTGGAAACCAAGGCTTAGCGTTTCTTGTGTTCAGAATGATGTCCCAAATCCAAGTCCTTATGCAATCTTTAGGAATACCGAATAGACAAAGTGAGAGAGTATGCTCAATACACAGGTGAATCACTAAGTTTTCTTAAGTTTATCCCCTCAGGCAAACAATGAGCTGTAACCAAGTATTGTTCTTGGTTTGCCGTTTGTGGTTTATCTGGGGGAGACAAACCGCAAGCCTCAGTTGGGATGCAACAGTAGGCCAAACCATGGCTTAGGTCCAGGCAGCTTGGCAGTAGCAGATCCATGGTGACTACAATAATCTCTCTAGGAACCTGAACATTTGCTCAATCGTGCATTGCATGCAAACTGGTCCTAGCAATGGCCCTAGCACCTGCGGGAGGCAGGCTTGTTCAGGGAGTGTAGGTCATGCCCCTCTAGTACACAAGGCTCAGGACTCAAGGAGGATGAGCCAAGGGACTGCTGCTGTCCTACAGTGTTAGTTGCCTGAGGCAGTCCCCTCATTCTGTCCAACCCTGCGGGACAAATTCTGAAGTATTTCTGTTATTTCTTGCCTGCTGTTTGAAGAAAGCACAGATAGGCAAGGTCGCTAAACAGGCCTAAAAGAGGAAGGGCAGGGCATGTAAACCATTGAACCTGCAACCGAGCTGTATTTTCCTATTATTATTAGTTATTTAGTTACAGTGGTACCTCAGGTTATATACGCTTCAGGTTACATACACTTCAGGTTACAGACTCCGCTAACCCAGAAATATTACCTCAGGTTAAGAACTTTGCTTCAGGATGAGAACAGAAATTGGGCTCCGGCGGTGCGGCAGCAGCAGGAAGCCCCATTAGCTAAAGTGGTGCTTCAGGTTAAGAACAGTTTCAGGTTAAGTACGGACCTCCGGAACAAATTAAGTACTTAAACTGAGGTACCACTGTATTTCTATCCCACTGAAATCTAGGGCAGCCTAGTGAGAAGGGCCAGCAGCCAGGGATGATGGGAGTTGTAGTCCATCTGGGGACCCAAGGTTGAGAAGGGCTGCTCTAGGGGAAACCTAGGGCAAGGGTGAAGCAAAAAGAATCACCAGAGTCCAAGGACACAGTCCAGGCAGAAGTGGGTGGGGCTTGGGAAGAGTCTCTGGATCTAGATTCTAGAAGCTTTGAGGGCTGCATGATGCCAGGGCTTGAGAATTCCCTCTCCTGTTCCAAGGCTAGAAACAAACAGCCACTGATTTATTCCCATGCACCTCTCTGAAAGTGCTGAGCATCCCTCTCCTTCTGCAGCTGTAGAGAAAGCTTTTTTAAAAAAGATGCGTAAAATCGCTCCTGCTCTACAAATCATATTCAGCAAACATTCTGGCTTCAAAGTGTTCAGCTCGTGTAATCTTGCAGATAACTCAGGGTTCGGGGGAAGGGAGTGTTTTCCCTGGCTGAGGCGGAAGTCGCTGCAATTTCTAACCTGTCCGGAAGGGCAGTGCTGTGGGATTGCAGCCTTCGTCCTCTCCGACTCCGCTGGCCAACTTTCTAACCTTCGCAGCAGCTCTGCCCAGCGCCGCGCTCCAACTTGCATCCCCGCTGGCAAACTCTTCTGATTTTCTCTCTCGCTTTGCAAAGACCGTTTCCAGCGAGGGAGGCGGCACCCTCGCCTATTAAACGCCCGCGCCCTCTTCTTCCTGCAGTTTCCTATTACTCCTTATCTAGCACGGAAGAATCGTAGTTGGAAGGCTCATCTAGTTCAACCCCCTGCAATGCAGGAACCACAGCTAATCATTCACGACAGGTGGCCGTCCAACCTGCGCTTAAAAACCTCCAAGGAAGGAGAGTCCACCTTCCGAATTTGATCATTCTCTTTGAAGCCGATCTCTCCGTTTCCAAGGCGTTGGCACTGCGAGGCGAAAACAGCTGCCTTTTTGTTCCCTTATTAACGATAAACTAATACATAAGTGCTTCTGCCACGTTTGGATAAGTACTTGACCAAGAAGGGAGGATGGGCGTCGTGTGATGATGCAACTTTCGAGGGGCAACCACCGCAGAGGCCCCGCCGCTCCCCAAAGACCCCCTCGGGCAAGCCAGCTCCTTTAGCCCCAGCAGATCCCGCTGCCGTGACGTCACGGAAGGGGCGGCGCTCGGCGCGAAGGGAGCCAGCCGGAGCGAGGAGAACTGGAGAGGCAGAGGCAGAGCTGCTTGGGACGCCAATGCAGCCTGGCGCGGGCGAGGAAGGAGCGAGCCGGCGCATCCCGCGGGGAGAGGGCTTTAACTCAGGGGCGAGCGTGGGAAGCCCGAGTCCTCCTCCTATGCGAGGTCTCCCTGCCCTTCGCGGCCAGAATTGAAAACTAAATAAAAAGAAAGGAAGGATCCAGGATGGATAAATATAAAGGTAAGGGGGAATGGTTCGTTTGCTTCCCCCACCCTCAGCGTGGGAAAGGGGCAGTATCAGTACTTCGGAAAGGATTGCTAGCTAGTTTGTCCTTAATGGATCGTCCTGCCTAAGCAGCCGAATGTGACTTGTGGTTGCTCGTAGGAGGCTTAAAGTCCCTTAAAACGTGGGTTTCTCTACAGCGTTTAATGAATGGGCGGGTGGGTTGAGACGGATCTTTGCCCCACAGGCGTTGCCTCGGGACCGAGACTGGCCAGGACGCCGCGGGTGGGTTTGTGAGGCTGGGGGAAAGTGGCGAGCGAGCGAAGAGTCCCTCATCGCAGCCGGGTCCGTCTCCCTCCAGGACCCACCCCTAGAGAGGGGGGATTCGCTGAGGTCCCCGGAGCCCCATTCCGCCGACGGAGAAGGAGTCGAGGGTGCCGCTTGGGGGAGGATTTTGGTTCTGATGCTCGTGGGACAAAGAAACAACAAATCGGGTGTGTGAAATCGTGACACAACCGGCTTCTTTTTGAAAGGATTAAGAGAAATACTGTGTGTGAGAGAGAGTAGTTGAACCTCCTTGACATACATCTGGTGCTCCAAAAACCCTCTAGGCGAGGTCCAGTGAAACTGTAGGAGATGAAAAGGTGAACACGACACTTGGAGCCGGTTTGGCGCGAAGCGGGGGAGGATTTAAGTACCCGCACCTGTGTGTGTGTGTGTGTGTGTGTGTGAGAGAGAGAGAGAGAGAGATCAAAGGACTGACCCCCCTTCTCGCCCCTTCTTTCGCTTCCGGTCTTGCTGTTGCTCCAAAACAGAATTGTAAGGAGGGTGTATTTAGTTCCCCCGTGTAATCAATATTCGCAGACTTTATAAGTTTAGTCTGCAAGATTGTGCGGGGGAAGATAAGGAAGAGGAAGGCGTGGCTGCCGAATGGTATCTGGAGGTGGGTGGAGAGCTGAGTGTCCCTTGTGTTTTTAATGAATTGTTTTAAAGCCCTTTTAAGTATTAAGGGACGCAATGCTTAGTGCTACGATTCTAAGGAGAGGTGTCGTCTTATGGCAGAGTGACTCCTTAGCCTGAGTATATGGCAGCAATGGGGACGGATAGGGTTACTCAGTGGGGAGGGAAAGGTACTCTGCACATTCTCAGAAACAATTTTTTTTCTTTGAATAGCTCAAGAGTCAACCCCAGTGTTGTAAACCAGCTGAGTGTCTAGACACATACTAAGCTCTGCAAGTGAAGTATTCCGTATTAATAAGCAAGCCTATCTTTGCCGTTCTGTAAATACATTAAGGTTGCAGCCTTACACACCTTTTATGCAATGTAAATGAGCACCCGCAAGCAACAGTGATGGCCACCAATTTAGGATGACTTTAAAAGAGGCTTAGACAAATCCATGATGGGTGGAGGATAAGGCTGTGTCCAATATTCGAGTCCGAATACCAGCAGCTGGAAACCACAGGAGGGGAGAGCGTTGGTAGACTAGAGGGGCCACTTTCCTATCCAGCAGGGCTGATCTTAGGTTATGTTCTTATTCACTTATGCTTAAAGTCACAGAGGTGGAAGGGAACACAAAGCTCACCTAGTCCATGCCCTTGCAGGTACAGGAAAACTACCTCCGCATCATCCCAAATGAGCATCTCTTCAACTTCTGCTTAAAAACCAAAGATTAGGCGAGCCCACTAGGTAGTCTGGTCCACCACAGAACCGCCCATGCTGTCAGAAAGTTATTCCCAAAATCCCCTTTCTTACCTGGTGGTAGTAAGTTGCATTGCACACATTGAAGTTTATTTCTGAGTAAGCTTGCACAGGATTGTACTGTAATTTTATCTTTTTTCTTGTTCATATACAATACAGGCCAATGTGGTGGGTCCGAATGTTCCAATATTTGCTCAGTTATGCAGTTTATCGAATGGCTGTCATTCAGTTTGTCTTACTTTTCAGGGGTTTTGAGAAGATGCAGCAAGCAAAGGCAGCATTCAGTGATGTGGGATTTCCAGAAAATGTTGAACTGGGAATTATTTTCTGGGAAATTTCACTTCTACACATGACAGCAATTTGCACTGGGAAAATTTCCCTTTTACGCTGAGAAAATTTTCTGATGCCCTACAGGGTGTTCTGATATAGAATGCTTGCTTATTTTTGTTTGCATTCAGTAAACAAAACTAAAACTGCCAAGGTTACCTAACATTGTATTTGCAACCTGCATTCATTTATTGTCAATAATGACCTTATGACATGGAAAAAAATTCGCTGGAAAAGCACTGGAAACTTTTCCTCCACCACTCATCCCTGGATGCATTGCAACCAGCATGCTGCCCTAGGGCCAGGGCAGGAAAGGAATCTAAATATAATAAATAAATGTCTACTCACTTTACCAGTTTAGGAGGTGGTTGGACCAGCCGACATTATAGTCTGGTGAGGCCAGTTTGCATCAGTACCTGAGAATCTGGCTTTCTGCATTTATAATGCAAACCTTTAAAACGATTTTTTCACTCTCCAGAGCTCAACAGGACTGCTCTCATAGGTTTGTCTTATTCCAATGGTAACTGACCAGTCTACAAAGAGTCATTTATTTGTGTATATGTAATCTGTATAGATAATAGTTGACAATTGTCCAGCACTTCCTGAATCTGCAGTTTTCAGGAAACCTGGGATGTATAGTGCAATCCTACTCATGTCTACTCAGAAGTAACCCCCGCAGAGATATGTGGGCCTAGGATTGCAGCCTAGGTCTTTTAACGTAACCTCCTGTCACACCTTTATGGCACTGTATATGTCCATTTTTGTGTCCAGATATCAGCTTCGCTGTTGGATAATAGTAACAGTGTTCATTCACTATGGGAATAGTCATTCGCAATGGGAATAGTTCATTATAGTTATTACTGTAGTTTGTCTGAATATATCTGAGCGAGACAGAGCCCTGAGATGAGAGTTCCCTGCCTTCTCCCTGCACCTTGGAGGTGGTGACTGGCTTTCAAAAGTGACCATCATTGCTCAGGGGAAGAACACATACCAATGCATTCAGAGGACTCTGGGTTCAGTCCTTGGTATTATCAATTGAAAGGGTCAAGCAGCAGGCGAGGGACTGCCTAGTAGGGCCAACAACACAGGAATTGGGGGCAGGTGTCCAGAGCCCCACTCAGCAAAGTGGGCAGGGCATGAGAGGCCCCAAATTTAGCAGGACACCTAAAGGGTTTGGGGTTAGGGTATAAGACCATTGGGTGGGATTCAAGGTCTCACTGTGGTGATCATTCACTCAGTACAAGTGTTTCTGCTTGCGAGATGGAATGATCTCCTCCCTTCACCTGCCCCTGTGTCCTGTTCTGGGGTTGGGGGGACTTGTGGGGGTCACACGTGACCTGTTGTGCAAGTGGGACTTGTGCTGGCTTCCATTAGCCAGCAATGTGAACTTGGCCCATTCATATCTAGAGTTGAACTACACCACTCGCTCTACCTGAGACACTGAAGAGCTACTGCCTACCATTCAACATTAGTCCTAGGAAATATGGAGAGGGCTTGCCATACCATTAGGCCAGGCTTCCTCAAACTCGGCCCTCCAGATGTTTTTGGCCTACAACTCCCATGATCCCTAGCTAGCAGGACCAGTTGTCAGGAATGATGGGAACTGTAGTATCAAAACATCTGGAGGGCTGAGTTTGAGGAAGCCTGCATTAGGCAGTGATGTGGAGTGGAAGTAATTCTGGAATTATTTTCCTTAGTGCTTCATTTTACTGTGGAAAATTTCCCATTTCATTAGTAACCACAAATGGGTACCTACTGCAAATGCGCTATGAGGCAAGCTTGGGAGTTCCGAAGTTTCAATTAATGTTTTTCCAGGCGATTATCGCTAGTATGGGAAGAGGATACATATATTTCAGGTCAGACATTTGTGGTAAGAAATTGGGTACTTTTTAAAAGTTTGGTTTACTAAATGCATGTAAAATAAACATGTGAATTAGACCATTCTCTACTTGCCCCATTTTCAAATCACCCTATGCAAATCAACTTCATTTGCATAGGAAAAAGTTCTTGAAATTTTTCCTAGTCAACATTTTCCAGAAAATCATGACCAGTGAGGCAATTGTATCAGGCGAACATGAAAAGGCAGAAACCCCTTATTTAATTTATTATTGTGTTTTTGCTCTGTTGGGAAAGGGACCAGGTGCCCAAATAACTTGACCAACTTTGGTCAATATGCAACTTGAACTGGGGAGAAGGGAGTGGGTACCTGATCTGGGGGGCAGCCATTTGCTGTTCCAACTGTAGGCAGTGTCTTGGGTTGACCCTGAAGATTGACAAGCAGTCCGGCCTAGTACAGTGCAGCTTTGTATCCCACCGGTCAGTCCCTTGGGATGAAACTAGCTAGCGCAAAGAAAAGAAATAATGGAAAGCTCTAAAAACTGTGGATAGTTTCTGAAGTGAGAGCTGCTTCAGTGCAGCTCTCATGGGTAAGAAACAACCACCACTGCTTCTGCCTCAAGCACATTCCCCAAGCCATAGTGTTGAAGTGTCAAAGAATTGCATCTTACTGTTTTCCTTGTGTTGGCAAGGGGAAGTGCCGTGTGTCTTACAGGTGGCTCTGTGTGTAACAAGGATGCACACCAGAGATAGTCAACATGGTGCTCTTCAGACATTGCTGGACTACAACTGCCATTATCTCTCACCATGCTACCTAGGGCTGATGGGAGCTCAGTTGCATCTGAAGGTTATCCCCAATGTATACAGAGAGCTGGAAATATCCCAGATGTGTGTTTAGTGCAAAAGTGTCCATTGAAGAAAGTTGGGTAAAGTTGAGTGGTTTGCCGAAATAACTAAACCTGAAGAGCAGCAAATGTCCACACGAAAAGTGAGGTGAAAATGAAAGCCCCAAATGCCTTTCGATAAAGGATTTGTGTACATAAGGCCTTAAGTGTGAGGCTGCCCGATTACATTGGGGATGTGGTTCCTTTTGCCTTTGGTGCAGATGCAGGGGCTGTGCTGTGGAAACAGAGAGCACCATTCTTCTCCTGTTATGC